ACTGAAAAAAATATAAAAATGAAAAATGATGATGGTGTGATTTTTGTTGGGGCTTGTACCAGACAATCATTGCATTATCCTTACATCTGGAGGAATTGATTTTTCAAGTTCATTAAGTTATTCATTATCAAGACATGAACATTTGTGGGATGTAAGACTAGTAGAGATAGTGCATTTGTCGGGGACTATTTTCAACAGCGGATAAATCCACATTTGGTGCTCTATTGAGTATTTAGCAAGTAGCAACCTCAGAGCCTGGTACAAAAACAGTTTTGGTTTCTATAGCTAATTTCCTAATTCATCTTCGACAACTGTACGGGGGTAAATTTTTATATAATTCACTTGTTTACATTTTATCAAGGCTTTAAGTTATGTAAAATTGAGGGTGTGGCCTCTCTGAGTGACAGGTGGGTGAGCGTATCCTTGCCACCAACTGAAATGCACTGAAGTCTCGGCTCCACCTATGCCCCACCTCTTAGAACATTTTTGGATTAGCGGGGAGTTAGGGGCAGAGTCAGGCACTGCCAAGATGGCGATGGTGGAGCAGCTCACTCTGAGCTTCAAAACCATTCTTCAGAAACCTGTGGGTGAAGTTTTCATGGGATTTGTTGAGACAACCTTAACCCACTCTGTATTCACAAATACACACATTATGGTCATACTGTAACAAACAAACTCATTAAAATGGAGGCCTTAGTGTTTTGTGTTGACCTGTTGACACCGCCTCTCTCCCTAACTCCCCTGCCTCCATAAATCTACATAAAGATGCAGTTTGCAGTTATGCAAGATGCCTCTAAGATGAGGAGATGAATGGATGTTGCTGATCTGGCCAAACACATGTCAGAGAGATGGATGAGCTCTGAGAGATTAGAGTTTTCAGAATTGTTAAATATGAAGTATGTGAAGGTGAATCGGGACTGATCTGTGTACAGAAATAGGATAAGTACTTTTGGATTATGATTCATTCCTGACATAAGAACAATGTTCATCTTTATCTATGTAAAAAAAAAAACAGCATTATCTTATTCAAAGGAACAGGAAGTGACTCATCTGGGTTTAGTTATGTAGCTAATAATTGCATGAATGGATCCTGTCATTTCATTTCTTGTGTCATGAGCACACAGGAGAATGTGGAGTCATTATGAAACAGCAGGCCACAATCATCCTGTATGTGTGTATGTGATTCGATTTTGGGAGATTAAATGGAATAAAAGTGAAACAGCATGTGGGGTGGGGGGATGGGGTGGGGCGGGGCTTTGTGGTACTTTCCTCTGACCTTTGACTTCCCAAAATCCCTGAAAAATGAAAATTATGTTCTTTCTACGATGCATGTCAACAGCTGACAGGGCATGGAGCTTAACATTACATTTACAGTACTTTTCATTATTAAGTAAAGGAGTGGTGTATCAGCTGTGGTTAGGACTACACCTTCATGGTACGCGTTCCACCAGGTGACCCTTGTGTCCCCTGGAAACACTTCTGTTGTGTTGTGAGTATTTGCAGCACATATGTTGTCAAATAGACACAACACAAACAAATTTAGATAACATCTTTATCTATTTGCATGTGCTTTGAGCTTTCAGGGCCACCGTAGTAGGAGCAGTACAGGTAGGCTAGTAGTAGCAATGGCAGCAGCAGTAAGAGACATAGTGGTAGCAGAAGCAGCAATAGAAGTAGAAGTAGTAGTGTCAGTAGAAGCAGACATAGAAGCAGTAGCAGCTGTAGAAGAAGACGTAGAAGTAGTGGCAGTAGAAATAGAAGTAGTAGTGGCAGTAGAAGAAGAAGTTGAAGCAGTAGTGGCAGTAGAAGTAGAAGCAGTAGTGGCAGTAGAAGAAGAGGTAGAAGCAGTAGTGGCAGTAGAAGAAGAGGTAGAAGCAGTTGTGGCAGTAGAAGAAGAGGTAGAAGCAGTAGTGGCAGTAGAAGAAGTAGAAGCAGTAGTGGCAGTAGAAGAAGAGGTAGAAGCAGTAGTGGCAGTAGTAATAATATGAACCAAGGCATTAGCATTAGTAGAAGTAGCAGTGGAACTAGCAGTACTAGTAGTAGTGGCATCAGTAGAAGTAGAAGATGTAGTAGTAGCAAAAGTAACAGGACCAGTAGCAGCAGTACAGATAAGATTAGCAGTAGTAATGGTAAATATAGGTGATTATAGGTGTTGTTGTTTGCTGCATCATGAACCAGCAGCTGAATGTGAGCTATTAGTGTTGATGGTAGATCACACTACTGTACATGTAGAGTACACACAGACATAAATCTGTTCATCTCTACTACTTTGTTCTCATTGACCCGTCAATGTGAAGAGAGTGTTGGATGCACCACGACAGAGCACGCTGTACTGAACAGATCACACCCCTCTATGGAGGCATTCATCTGATCACTGAACGCACTGACTGTGGGCTGCCCATTACTGCAGATGGTAGGCCATCAAGGCATTGAGGCATTCTCAATGGAAAGGCACAGCTGCAACACACACACACACACACACACACACACACACACACACACACACACACACACACACATGCATTCAGAGAGTACACACACCCTCTCCTATTCCAGCTTAGACTCAGACCAGTAACTTCCATCAGAAACCTCAGCCTCTGTCTTTTAACACACAAACCTGCCTCAAAAAACTCATGTATTCTGAGTACATTGTTATCAAAGACCAAAAACATCAAGTCTTTACGTTTTGTGAACCTGCTACAAACAATTATCAGTATTTTACATTAAATTACTCATTTTCAAATGACTTGACTTGCCTGTAGGAGCTTTTTACTAGTTTGTTTTTTGTTTTTTCTATTATTTATCCATCTTTTCTGAGTTTGGATTACTTTGATTAATTTGTTTTATTTTTGATAATATTCTCTATTATATATTGTTTCTTTATATTATTTGCTTATGCAACATAGTTAGTTTGGTTAACTAGTACTTTGTTTATTTTGGGTAACGCTATGGGCACATGAGGTTATTTAGGCAGGTAGACCCATAGTCATATGTAGGTCGTACATCAGCGTGGCCGCCATATTGGACCGGTCAAGACTGCCCTGTAATTAAGGATAAGTTAACTGAGGAGCTGCAGTTTTTCTGGATAAAAAGCACAGTAACATTTATATAGTCATTTATAGAATCATTTTTATATTCGAAGGTTTATGATTTACATGGAGTAAAAGTAAAAGTTCGGTCTCCAGTTACTTAGAATGGTGATAGTTTAAGCTGTAATCACTGTTTTCCAGAAGGAGGAGTGTGCATTAACGTTAGGTTTACATGAACTGAATTACTGGCGTGGTGGAAAATAATTCATTGGGTAGACAGGTTTAGGACCAGCATGCACCTGGGTGGGCCTATGTTTTTTTTTTTTTCTACCAGATCAGGAGGGGCAGCAGGAAACATGAACCCTTTGGTCTTTGGTTTGCTGCTTGTTTGTTTGGATGAATAAATCAAAATGATAACACAATGGCTTTGTTTGGACAATGTATTTTTTTGACTGTGTAAACCACATTCCCCATGGTGCAGCACCAAAGGGTGTGAGGCCCCTATTGAAATTGTAGTGTTTCTTATTATTTTGTTTCTCCTCCATAAAAATGAATTGCCTTTTTGAGGGTCTAAACATGCTTGAAAACTCATTAAACTTTGCAGACGCGTCAGGCCTGGTGAAAATGTACATATTTTATGGGTCTTGTACATGGGTGTGGCAAAATGGCTCGATAGTGCCCCCAAGAAAATTTCAATGAAGCCCTTCCTATCCCGTGGTTTCACCTACATGTATGAAATTCGGCAGGCACATGCAACATGCCAAGACTTACAAAAAAGCCTCTTGCACCCATAGTCTAAACCCAACAGGAAGTCAGCCATTTTGATTATATATATATATCAATTTTGGCACTTTATTTTGGGATCTAAGGACGTCATCCTTTAACGAACTCGACATTATATTTGGTCAATCTCATCTTAAGACCTTTGCGATGCTAAATTGTTAAGTTTTAGCGAGTTTTAGTTGGAGCGCCTGCCCACGGCAGCGCGGTGAATTTTGATAATTCGGCATGAAACCAGAAGTTCTTATAACTATAATATACAGTATCCACTCTGCCCCGAATGTGTTTGATGACAGTCCCACACTGAAGACATCTGCAAGGTAATCAGGAAGTAATCCTTGAGTTACAATCATGGTCTGGTTTACACTCGATATACAGGACAATGCATGGTGGCAGCATCAAGTGGCCTCCTGGTGGCGGCCCCGAGGTGCATGACAGGGCGAGGGCCCGCATAACACTGCTTGTAGCTTTCATGTTGGACTTAAATTTGTTTGAAAGACAAATAGCCACTACACCACCCCCTTAAATGGGTCACGCATTACTGCCACTGAGATCCTGTCTTGAAAATGGGCCTGTGTCAAAAGCTAGTTGAAAGACCGTGATACTTGGGCTGTGTGTTATTCCTGGATATATCACATTATATACACTTCCAGAGTGTGGAAAGAATGGGAGGTTAACAGGGGGCAGAGTAGCTCTCATTTTTGCATGGGGTCACCATAGCAGGAGAACCCAACCATGCACATAAAGCCTGTCTAGAATACAGACCCGATCGATGGATGGAAGTAAAGGCTTCCTCTAAACCCATTCTCCCTGAAATGATTATGTCATTATGTGCAGTGGCAGTGTCAGACGAGCACCACTTAAAACTACAAGAGAGCGGACAAATCAGACCTGAGAACAGAGAGAACATGTCACGTACTTGCTTTTCAGCGTCGTAATTAACATGCGCCCCTCTTCTGCAAGATAGCATGACAACAAGCAGTCTGCAGCCACAGGCCGTGGCGCTCTGCATGCCTTTGGACAAACATTTGTTAGCGTAGCAAGGAAAAAGCTCGATGCCCTTGTTCGCCCTTTGGTCAGATGAACAATCACTCCAGAGCAGCCTAATTGATTTTCTAATGAGAAATGTCACAGCATGTTTGGTGTGTGGAATGCACACTGCTGCTTCTGCAGCCACTCTGTCATTCTTACCTTTCCGGATGAGATCTTCGATTTCTTGATCGAAGCCCAGCCGGTGACATTTCCTCCACAGCCCCATGTTGGTCGAGTTGTACTGCCTGCTGCACTCATCCGCGGCGCTCATGGCAAACAGCTGCCGCCGATTCCGGGCCAGCAGCAGCTTCTCCTCCCAGCGGGGCAGGCTGCTCCGGCTGGCCCGCAGCGGCAGGCTGTTGTTGGGGATGTAGATGAAGCCCGGGTCCTTGCGGCGGCTGGAAAAACTTCGGCACCGCTCCCTGTACCTCCTGGCGTCGGTCTCGTACCAGTGGTCAGAGCACATCGCCACGGCCAGCATGCCCAGGGCGCAAAGAGAAAGAGAGAGCCCGGCGTAGAGCAGTAACTTCCCGGCAGCCATGCTCGCTTGTCACAGCCGCATCTGCACCTCAACAGACGGACAGCTCCTCTGCGGCTTCCCCACTGTAGCTCAGCTCACATCACCTCTGGAGAGCAGCATCGGGACCATTAGTGCAAAATAGAAGGGGAACCTTTCACAGCTCGCAGTGGCACAGCTCACAGCTCAAATGAAATACCAAATCCCCTGTATTCCGGTGTTTTCCACTATAACGTGCCCACGTCCTTCTTGTGTGCGCGGCGCTGCAGCAGCTCGGCGGAGATGGAGAGAGAGAGAGAGAGAGAGAGAGGGAGAGGGGGCTTATCTCATCTCAGCCGAGGATCCTCAGCATCCATCTGTCTGAGCACAACAGCACAGCACCCACCGTTAGTAAAGCATTACCTAGACTATAAATATTTCACATAAAATAAACCCTGACTGCACAGCCCACCCTCCCAGATGAACGACGGACAAAGAAGAAGGGGCAGTTAGAGAGGATCGTGCGGCTGCATTAAGCACAAGCCTATTTACAAATGCAACATCATTCCAAACAAACCCGCCTCTGTGAAACTCAAATGACAGTGTGGACAGTGTAAATGTACCTGAAGAGTCGGAACCGAACCCGCGCAGACCGCAGTCCATCAGCAGCAGGAGAGTGAGGGATCAGTCAGCAGACTCAGCAGCCCCTCACGTCTGATCGGATGACGGCAGCTGCTACGGAGCAGGCCCGACCGCGAACCAATCAACAGCAGCCTGGACCAGCACCGTGTTAGCCTACAGGCTACATGAAGTCTGACTCAACAATCCCAGAGAGAAATATAACATATGACATGTACTGTATGTCCCTATATCAAGAGGGATGTTGCCATATGTCACTTATATCATCACATATGAAATACCCATAGTAAAATATATATGTATATGTGCATACATTAAAAAAAAGTCTATATGATGAATTTTTATATAGTTTTTAACATGTTGTGTCCATATATGTCAGTGATATTTATTTGATTCATATTCGCAAGTTTATTTAAACAACATAAATATAAACATTCTATAGGCCTATATCTTATGTATGTTTTTCTTATTAATTTTAGCCATGTCTTCACATTCTGGGAAAGTGGTCTCAGACTTTTGGACCCCACTGTATATTATATCAACATATACTGACAGGCTATGTGATGGATATGTATTTATTTAACATACAGTATGTCTACAACATACATATTGGTGTGGGCTACTTATTTGTCAGTGTATAAAATTGTTTCAACTTCTAATAGGTTTCATATAAAGTTTTTACATATGTGCTTTTATTTCATATGTGCATACATTTCATATATAGAAATTCAATATGTGTACATATTACATTTGCGTATGGGATAATACGCTACAACTTCTGTTATCCTGCTACTGTTGTGTCTTACTATTGCTTTCACCTAAATCCTATAAGGTGTGAATAATGGCATGTGATAATAATGAATTATAGAATAATAATTATTATAGCTAAATGCACTAAAGCAGGGGAAGCCCATATGCAAATGAAATATGTATATGTATTGAATTTCCATTTATGAAATATATGGAAATAAAAAATAAAAACATATGTGAAAATTATATATGTAACCTATTAGAAATTGGAACCGTTTTCTATATTGAAATAAATGTCTGGCTATATAAATATGTATGTTTATGTCTGTATGCTTATGCAACATGAATAAATATCCATCCAGTATATGTTGATATTATGTACAGTAGAGTCCAAAAGTCTGAGACCACTTTCCCATGATGTGAAGAAAGACATGTTTAAAATGAATGAGAAATTGTTGAGAAAAATATTTCTAAACATGTAGAATTTTTATATGTATGGTGTTTTAATAAACTTACAAATAAATGAAATATATATTAAAGTATATGGTCGCAACATGTTATACCATATAAAAATTCATCATAGATATTTTGATATATATACATATATAATTTTACATAAACTTATATCTTCATATATCCAGAGGATGTACTGTATATATGTTATAATAGTATATCCCCTGATAGGTGACATACATGACATTCCATTGCTGGGCAGACGAGGACATTTTAGGCAGCTCTTCACATTATAACATTGTGAAACAACAAGCAGGTCCTGCATCATTACACATCTAACTATTCCAGATTAAAATGTCTAAAAACAACTAGACCTACCAATTCTCAAACCAGAGAAAAACTGGGATTTTAATCATGGTAATGTGTCATTGGTCGCCTGTCAGTGACATCATATCCTCTTTGATCATGTGTCAGTGTGTTTGTCTGACAGAAGCTCAACATTGACTTTTATCTAGTTTTAAGTCACATACACTTTTGACACCTTGGTGGTTTTCAGCTCTATATTTGAACCAGATGAAGGATTTTAGTCGTCGGACGTCTGGATCTGAAGTTATCAGAGAAACAAGCTGAGGAAATGTTAGACAGCTCAGCTCCCAGCTGCTGGAGACGTCCTGTCCTGTGTCACTGTCATTTTTAAAGGTAACTGTTTTAAGGGAGCTTCTACTGGTTTTATTCCGCTGGTGTGTTTGTTATGGAGAGGAGGAAACCTCTGTGGATAATTCAGCTGCTGGTAAAAACCTGCTGAACGTCTGCTTCTTACGTTATCAGACAAAAGTTACAGACTATGTGTTTAAAATGTAGTTAAAAGGCTTTTTATTACTTACACAGGCTACATATTGTGCTTATACATGGTACATATTACTGAATGGATATGTGTTTAACCAAATTACCATTACATGAACTAATTATTAATTAATGTACAGTAAAATGGGAGGAACAGTGAGAAACAGCTAATTTTTTCCCCAGGCCAAAGTAGAGCAGTGCTGGTCCCAGCCATTTTAGGGCTCTATGCAGAAGACTCCTATTGTTAATATCTACTTCTACTTTATAATGCACTCACCCTCCTCTGGTGTGCCCTGCATTGGTGGCAGTGCACCGGACCAGAAGATTAAGCTTATGGAACGTTCATGGTTTGTTTAGGTTTAGACAAAGATCATGGTTTGGGTTCAAATAAATACTTCATTAAGGTTGGAGGAGCTTTTACATCATGGTTACAATCATAGGTGTAGTGCTGGCGGAGTGTACCTGAACCACACCACAGCTGTTCACCTAATACGTTAGAGAGTTTACCTTCAACTGAAATTCATTTCAATGTTTTTCCAGGATTCATGTTAACAGTATCTGCAGTTCGAGCAACGTGTAGACTGTTAAGCCCATGACTTTCATTTCTTGCTGGTGTGGTATTGGCCTGAGGTCATGGTTTCTGCCATCCCTGTGAAAACAGTCAGCTAAATAAAATGACATTCCATTGCTGGGCGGACAAGGACATTTTAGGCAGCTCTTCACATTACAACATTGTGAAACATTTATTGTTCCTCCACACTGGTGACAGCCAGATTTGGCACATATCTCGAGAACTGCTCAAGCGAGTCCTTCCAAATTTGGCACAAACAATTGCAATTGGACTCAAAGACAAACTGATTAGAGTTTGGTGGTCAAAGGTCAAAGTTCAAGGTCACAGTGACCTCAAAAAATAAACTTTTTAGCCATCACTCAAGACTTCAAACTGCAATTATGACATTTCAAACGAATGGTTCATATTTTCTATGACTCTGGATAAACAGGGATGTAACCTGAAACTAGTCTGAGCGGAGGAGGCAGACGACCACCAGGAAGTGAATCTTTATTAAAATTGGTTTCACTTTCAATTTCAACCATTATTAACTTAGTCAGGTTTTATGTTCTTTTCATATTAGATAAAGAATTCATTTACTCTTCTAATTTAACATAAACTGTATAAAAAAATATGAAAGCTGACATACAGTTTTCCAAGTTCGAACACAACCAGCAAATGTGACGTTTATCAGTACAGCTAACAACAGTTTGAGTTAGTATTTAAAAAAAAAAAAAGTCTGCCTGTCAAACATATGTTCACACCAAATGTCTCAGTTTAACAGAAGCTATGTTAAACCTTACAGTACTTTGTGGTATTTGCTGAAAATGAAAATGAGCATATTTCACCCTATGAAACATGCTAATGGGTAACATGCTAATGCCTAATGCTAGCTGGCACTTTTTTATATCTCCACGCCGGCAACAACCGGAGCCCGAGGCATATTGTTTTTGAGCTGTCTGTTCGTCATACCTTGAAGGAACCTCTTCATATTTCAAACATTCACTCTGTGATTCTTGGTGATCCAAAACAACAGTTTGCAAATTTAAAGAAATAATCATTTAAAAATTGTGTTTTTTTTTACTTACAATTACACTTTAGAGAAGCAAAGTGATCAGATGTACCTTGGTGTGTCACTCCTGTGACACCGTGACAATCATCTGTCATCTCTGAGTTGAATGTTTTGCAGGTTAGGTTTTTTATTTTTTCTGTGTTCACAAGAGTGTTTAGCTCTGATGTGATAATCTGTCGTCTGTCTCCTGCTCTGATCTGATGACACACACACACACACCTTTGCCTCCTGAACTGGCTGCTGTCACATCGACTCAAAGCACTGTACATCTTTTGTCAGGAAAATAAAGAGTTGCCTGGCAACACACTTTTTTTATGACATTATTTTTCATTTTTAGCTAATTCCAAGTCAAATGGTTGAAAGTGAAATCAAGATAGATAGATAGATAGATAGATAGATACTTTATTTTTGTAGAGTGGTTGATATTAAACTCAAAGTGAAGCTGCAAGTTTTTTTTTATGCCTCCACACTGGTGACGGTCTGAGCCGGAGGTATTTTGTTTTTGGGATGTCCGTCCGTCCGTCCCACTCTCACGGACAACATATCTCAGTAACGCCTCATGGCGAGTTCACCTTGTGAACGCAATATCCCCAGAACTCCTCAAGGGAATGCCTTCAAATTTGGCACAAACGTCCACCGGGACTCAAGGATGAACACAAAACACTTTTTAGCCATTGCTCAAGACTTCTCACAGCAATTATGACAACATTTCACACAAATGATTGATATTTTATGTGACTCCGGATAAACAGGGATATAATCACAATCAGAACCAGATGTATTTGTCACTACCATAATCCTCATTTCAGCGTACATGGAAGCGAAATGCCGTACTCCACAGATCAGGGTGAAAAAAATAAGTGCTTATGCAACGGGTGTCCTGAATGAACAGGCGGTCAGTGGACACTTAAAGTACTGGTGCATTTTTGAGCATATATGTCATCCTGTGGTGTTGGAGGGAGGGATGGGGGGGCAGCACTTTGAGGGAGTTCATAGTTCTAATGGCTTGTGGAAAAAAAAAAAGCTATTGCACAGTCTGGTGGCCGTTGCACGGATGCTCTGGAGTTTCCTTCCCGATAGCAAGAGTGCAAAGAGGTGGTGGGAGGTGCGAGAGGGGTCGGTCATTATATTGGCTGAAACTATTCTAAGTGGCGGCAGCACACAACCACAAGTTTTCTTTTTTTCTATTTGTTTTCTCTAAAGCCATCATTTTTGTTATTTGAGTCCAAGGCAGGTTGACTCCAGTCCACACCTCTGAATTGCAAGTGCAATAATCTACTAAAGTAGGTAAAGGTACATAATTGTACTTCCTCAAATGTTCTTTTTTCAGATGCAGTGAGTCTGACGTCAACAGAAATTATGTAACTTCACCTGCTGTTACTTAACATGACTT